AGCCGGGATCGGCCAGGCACGGCTGTTCCCGACGCCAAATTTCTGCGTCTGATGGTTCCCTCGACGAGGACAGTGACGGAACTGGGAAGGGGTAGCTTTAAAAGTCTGGAAAAAAGAGGCTCTTACACTTTCAGGGCAACACCTCTTGCTGAACCTCTGCTCCTCGCCACGTGAACGTTTTCTGAAGCTCCGAGTTTTCTGTGAATGAGAGAATCCGAGGTACTCTGGACACGAGACAAGGACGGGCAGGGGCGCGCGTGGACCCCGGATGTGTCGACGTGCCGACTCCTCGCCACGCCTGCGTCGGGGCCATCGTCCCCCCAGTGTGCAGATGGGGGGACCGGGGAACCGCGGGGACTCCAGAACTGGACGCAGACCTTCTGGTGCAAGGGTCTGGGCTCACAAGCACTGCCCACGCTGCTGCTCACAAACACGAGGTCTGCAAAATTTCTGACCAAGGATCAAAGTGTGACTGGAAGTATCTGGAGTGACTTACAGCAAAGAAGAGACCTGAGTGTAGACGGCAGCCTCAGGCGGTGGGGCCCTGGGGCCGGGGCCGGGTCCAGACACCACAGGAGAAAACCGGCCACACCTGCTAAGGAGGAGCAGCCCCTTTTCCCTCCCTGCGGTGAGGTGACGGCTGTCCACAGAGCATCGCGGCCCCAGCAGGGCGTCTACGCCTCTCCGCTCAAGCCTACGTGTGCTCCGTGCTTGTGGCTGAGCCCACGTCCGGGGTTTGGGCTGCGGCTTCAAGCCCAGTGCCCAGCCCAGTCTCCACCTGCCAAGGTGCTTTCCAGGGGCACGGGACCGCCCTTCCCCACGCCTCAGTGTCTCCTTCTGTAAAATGTGGAGGATATGGCCTCCCTCGGGGGTGGCTGGGAGTCACGGGGCGGGGTGCCAGGAAGCCGTTCAGAGCTGCGTTCAGTTGTGGCTCCTGTTGAATCCCATGGACGGTGAAGCCGCTCCTGAACCCCTCCACTGCACAGAGTTTTGCTCTCCACAGACCCCCAGGGCACCCAGGGCCTCCCCTGGAACTTCTTTTCCCTCCGTCCGTGCCAGGGTCTTCGCCCAACCTCCCGACCTGACGGTAAGCCCTTCCGTTGTCCCCCTGCCCAGGACCCACCCAGGCAGGGACCTGAGACCCCAGCAAGCCTGTCACGCCCTCAGGTGTGAGGCGTAAACAGATGCCTGTCATCTTTTTGCCTCAAACTGAATGGGGCGGAAGCCTCGGCACTGGGACCGGGGACACTGGGTGGTGAGGTCTGCTCATGTGAGTGGGGACTGTCCCCGCCATCCGGTGCAGGAGGGGCCCGGACACAGGTCCAACGCGATCAGCTTTGCCGGTCTCCGAAAAGCTTGGGCTTCTCCACGTGGGGTCTGTTTGCAATCACAGTGCCTGGGACCCCTGGGTCCCTCCATCTGGCCCACTGAGGCGCGGGGAGGCAGTCCAAACAGGGCTCACAGGCCTGTCTCTGGGGCAGGTTCCGGATCCACGGAAATGCACTCAAGACAAGGCTGAATTGGGACTTTAGGCTAAAACTGAACCTGGCTGGGACTTGGGTGAGAGCATCATCTGTGGCCTGAGGTGGCTTTCTCAGCTCACAAAATGCGCACGGGCCTCGCACCCCAAGAAATACCTCTTGCTCCCACGCATCTCACCTTTGCCCATTAATGCTTCATCACGTGTTCCGGAACAGTCTCTCTGTTCCCTCTGTTCATCCCACAGGGATGACAATCGCACCTGTCTCCAGGTGTGCAGGGAAGCTGATGCCCGAAGGCAGTGCCTGGGTTCCGTGTGGCCCCTGCTCTGGGAGACCCGCTGCCCACAATGCAACAGGCCTTCCTTCCACGTCTCCCAGACGCAGCGTCCACCTTCTGCCCAGTTCTCTCTGTTCTTCCTCGGAAAGATGCGGACCATGGAGGCGAACGCTCCCACGTCTGCCCTCAGCCGCCTGGCGTGGAGGTGTTTTCCCTCTGGGCTCGGAGGCAGCGACGAACCGGGGACTCCAATCACCGACACACCTTCCACCCCCATTTCACCAACCTCTGAGATGGCAAAACTCAAGCTCATTCTCGTTGAGAGAACTTAAATCTCACCAACCCTGGCAAAGAGTTGAGTGTTTGTAAAGTAACAGAGCTGTAAAACGTAGTCCAACATCAAAGATCAAGTTTCCATCTCGGTTTCGGAGATAATGAACCCAAACGGACAGAAAAGAGGAGGAGAGAACACACTTTTGTCTGTTGTCTAACCTCGTCTGGGTGTTTCCCTCACTAGCTCTGGGTGGTCCGTGTTGGTCCACTCCTGACGTCTGTGCACCGCCCCTCCACGAGGATCCAGGTCCCGGAGCTGAGCTATCCGGACGCACACTCTGCCTCCGGGATTCCAACGCCCCGTCTCCGATGTGGTGCCTACCGGCAGGGTGGCACGTACGGGAGCTGAAATCATGCAGCCCAGGGGTCGGAAAAGAGTGGACGCAGGAGAAAAAGGGCTTTGGAGAGAGGTCACGGGGTTCAAGCCCGGTCCTGCCCATCTCTCACCAGCCTGAAGCTCCAGGCAGCCTGAGCTGCACTCTGGGTCTGGAAAGGGGGGGGGGGGTGCGGACGCCCCTGCCCCGGGTCGCACGGAGGGCCGCTCATAGGAGTGGATGTGCTCCTGGGACGGTGCCTGGTTCACGGTGCGTGCCCTCCCCTAAACTCCCGAAACTCAGCTTCTAACTCTCTCCCCAGGAAACTTGGGCATCAACTGCACTTCGGGTGTCCGGAGGCACCTCTGTGTGTATCACGCAAGGGACCCCTTCAAAAAATACTCCACCTGGGGATGGGGACATTTAATGGAATGCTCAAGACCTCAGGTGACCACACAACGTGGAATGCTCAGGGAACGAATTTTCATCAAAGATCGTTTTACAGACATGATGATGTCACACGGCAAGACTGGAAATCAGAAGGGCGTCCCGATAATTCATATAACTACACGAATTTGGTAACGTACAGTTAAAAGTGGTATGAAATGAGACTGTGCATACAGAATGGATCTGAGACCCGAAGTCAATGAAGAAAGACCATGCCGCTCAATTAGAGATTCACACGTGTAACTCGACACTGAACAGAAGCGAGAGAAAACGGGACACACCGTAGGCTCTGTGGTCGTTATTTACTCCGATATGCCCAGGACTGCCTGCCTTTAGTACCTGTTGGCAACCGACTGTGGGACCCCAAGATGCAGCCTTATCTGGCGTTTACAGATTTCAGGGAGCAGCGTGTGCGTCACTGTCCCTCCCCAGCCAGGAGCACTGGGCGGGGCAGACACCACAGATTACCTGATTGGTCAAGGTGAGAAGCTCCCACTTCTGCACATCGTACGTAACACCTGTCACGCCTGTCGGCCAGTCTCCAGGAAGGCCCGTCAGCAAGTCCCAGGGGAACTGTCTGTCTGCCTCCTTACTGTCCCCCAGCTTTGTATACAACCACACGTGAAACCAGACGTTACCTTTTTTTTTTTTTTTTTTAAGGCTGGAAGTCAATAAACAAATTTGTTGTGACAAATGCGTACACACACAAGAGGAAAACATATTTGAAAAGGACACAGGGAGAAGAAATGATATGCGGCCTAAGTTGAAAAACTGACACCCAAGAGGAGGGACGGAGTACATGTAACACCCTTTAAAACACAACAAAAAATGAGGTTGCGTGTGAGTGTTCTTAACATTCTATTATTTTTCTCTCTCATTTTGTCTTTCTGGAATGAATGCTTTGAAAGAAGATACCAAGGGGGTCAAGCTCCATCGGTACCTTCACAGACGACAACGTCCCCTTGAGGAATGAAAAAACTTATGATTAAAAAATAGGCCTTTAACAAGCCATCGTGAAAATGTAGTTTTGTTTTCCAGATTCATTTTTTTTTTTTTTTCCTGGCTGAGAAGAGGCCTTTCAGCAGTAAGACAGGAGGAACTGTGGAAGGAAGGAAAAGAGGATGGTGATATAAATCAGCAAAGGTTAATGATCAGGATGTGAAGAGAGGGACTTGTTTACAGAAATAGCGTGCAATTTAAAATTTACAAGAGATTTAATGCCACTGCTTGGCAATCGCTAAAATCAACAGCCCAGAAAACAGTGACATTAAGAAAAATATTACAGTTATAATCATCCCCAAATAAGTCAATTAGTGTTAGGGCACGAGCTGGCGATTACTTGACCCATTTGGCTTGCACTTAAGTGAAAAAAAATGTCCCCCTATTATACCAGGATCGCTGGATTGTGACCTATTTTGCATTGTGCTCATTGTAACCCAGCCTCCCTTACAAACTCACGTGGGCTGACGCTGGTTTTCCTTTGCCTGGCAACAAAATAATTCTGACCCTTGACATTTGCAATCATAAAAAAAAAAAAAAAAAAAAAGAGGCAATTTATAATTGTGTTGTTCCAATGAAGGTGGGAAAAATTCAATCTGCTATTATACAAAAGCAGGGGCGGCTGTCTTCGGTGGAAAAAGCAACGCAAGTCAATTTGTGAACTTTGGCACCAGACGACCTTTAGAAACACAACAATATACTGAATTTACAAGCAACAGCAGCCCCATGCAAATGACCCGGGCCCGGCTGCCTCTGGGTTAGAGCTGCACACGGCATTATGGAGTATGCGTCCACAAAACAAATTAAGACTGTTACTTAAATGTCACGGCACACTATTGTGTTTGGCTACAGATCATTACACCTGATACTAACACTTTTAAAAACTGTAATAACTCGGGAAATATTACATTGAGTGCCCGCATGTATAAAGGGAAAGAAAAAAAGAGGAGAAAATAGGTTTCTGAAGTAATTTAAACATCACTACTCTAGGACTGAAGCGAAAGGTCAAAATTTAAGTAAGCTGAAAAGTAACATGAATGGCAAAGTCAAGCACACGGACGGGCGATGGAGACGGCGGGGATGAGTCTGCAGACACAATGAGGGGCATGCGGCGCCACGCGGGCGCGAGGGCGGGGGGCGCGGCGTTACCTTCGGTGTTGGTGCCGCTGCTGCTGTATATATTTCGCAGGCTACCAACACGGTTTAGTTTCCATGCCTTGCGCTTGGCTGCATCCCGAGAGCAGAGAAGGGGGCGGGGGGAAAGAGAGAAAACAAAAAGGAAAATAAAACAAATGAAAAGGGGAGAAATGTCAAAGCAGCTCGTGACGTCACCTCCGAGCCAGCGGTTCCTGGGAGGCAGGTGTGCACCGGGGTGGGGGGGGGGAGGGGAGGGAGACCCGCACCCCCCCCCCCCCCGCCCCCCCCCCTCCCCCCACTGCTCCTGGCACAGGGCGATCGAGAGTGGGGGAGGCGTGCCAGCCGGCATCATCAGGTTGGCATGAAATCAAACTAAGGCCCGGGCAAGGAAGCCCATGCGTCGCTCCCGCCCTGCTGGGCTGGACACGTGGCCACTCCAAACAGTGCCAGGCTGGCCTTCTTGGCGACGGGTGGCGTCTTTTGAAGGAGCTAGGATGCCAGCAGCCATGAGCCCTTTGATTTGGCAGAATGCTGGGAATGTGTCACATCAAAAGAGACCCCGGTGACTCGCGGTTCACGTGTATGCTGCAGAAGGTAGGGGCCCTGAATAGCCAGAGCCCTTAACGCTGGACTTGCTTCCCCCCCGACACGCGTTCATCTGGACAGCAGCCTGCGCCGGCAAAACTCGGCTACCCTCTTGCTGTTGTCAGAGGGTGGAGGCCCTTCTCCTTCCTATGGGGGCCTCTGGAGGCTCTGAATGGAGCTCTGAGGGACCCAGAGCACAGGCCCCAAGCTCTCAACTCATCAAAGAAAGCATCCGAGGGGGGGGAAAAAAAAAGACAGATGGCCAGTTACCCACACGGAAGAACCCTGGGTTTGGGAGAGAGCCGCAGCATGAACCTGCCACCGTGTGCAGAGTGGGGCGGGAAGGGGTCCCCGACCTCCTCAGGCACTCTTCTCCGGGCACACATTCTCGCCTCACCTGGCCCCCACCCTCCCAACCGCACACTCGGGGCCGAGACACCTGTGGCGGAGAGGCTGGCTCCGGTCAGCCCTTCAGAGGACGCACTTCATCAAGAGCGAAGGTTAAGTAGGGAGCCTCCTGTGGTGCAAGTCTTCCGGCTGAAGGCACAGCCACAGATCCACGGGCCGGACGGCCACCACACGGGCACGCACGCCAGCGTGTCCGTGGCGGACGCGGTCACCCAGGTTTCGGAAGAAGAGGCACGCCGGGCCATCTCTCTCTCTTGACCTCCACGGCCGGGAGAAGAAAGCGGTCAAACCCGCCATCAGGCTCTCTGGGGCTAACCGTTTAATGTTGGGGGTAAGAGGCGCTCCTGGGGAAGCCAGGCCGACCCTCTGGTTCACGGACTGACGCAGAGACAAGGAACACGCTGGCCAGGGGTCACCCCAGCACGTTCCGGACTCAGGACGGTGCTGGCTCCTGCTGTCGTGTTCAAGCCCAGACGCTCAGTCTCCAAGAGGGTGGGCTCAGCTCTAGCTGTGCCAAGCCCGGTGGTCGCGAAAGGAGCCCCCGTGACGACCAGGGCTCTGTGAGGAGCTTTGCTGCTGAGCTGAATCCCAAGCACTTCTGTGCACACGGGGTTTACTTACAGGGACAACAGGAACTACGTGTGAGAAATAAGGACATTTACGGAAGCAAGCGCAGTGATTCTCAAACAGTGTATATCCGGGATGCAAATTTTATGCTAATGAGGAAAGCAGAAAGCAGCTGTAATTTAGTGGTCGCCGGACTTAAAACCGGGAAAAAGTAAGCTATGAGTAAACACACCGAAGAGTTACTTGGTAGCTTGAAAACCCACCGGTAATTTAGTAGGAAATCTAATCTCTAAACTAGTGGGCATTTAAGGTTGGGGATGCAGGCCCTTCTACCGTATATGGGCCTGAATTTAGTCTCGCCCGGGTGAGAAGCTCCCCTTACCTCCGCATCCTCGAGGCACCAACTACCTACAGGGTGTCTGTCCCAGGTAACGTCACGGCCGGCACCCTCCAGTACGAACACCAGGCGCCCGAGACAAAGGAAACCAAACTAGTCACAGTTTTCAAATGTTTACTTTAGAAACGTTCAATGAATATTTATCCTCTCCCTCGGGTACAGCGGACGCTTTTGCAGAATTAATTGCGTGTTTAATTATCTCAATAGATGATGCTCTGGTGTCCTGGCCCCAGTTTTACAAGTTCCAGAAAGCGGTGGCCACGAAAGAGGCTGCACTCCCCAGCCTCGAAACTTACCTCTTTCTCAAACATTTACATATAAATAGGCAGAGCTGAGGCTGGGCACCCTTCTGGAGGGAGTGGTGGGGGGAGTTCTAGTGCAAACCTCTTCCCTCACCTGCACATGCCTTGCATTTTTCATGCTCCGATCTCCCATTACCGTTTGGATGTAGAGGTAAGAAGTGAGCTCGCAGTCTGGTTTTCTATTAACCTATTGATGAAATAATCAATTTTAATGTGTAAAATGCCATGCCTTTTCCTTCCTCTTAAACAAATGGACTTTTTCGGGATGATACCAAGGTCCCGACACGTGCATTTGTCTCCTGGGGCATCGACTGCTCTAGGTCCACCTGTTTCGAAGCTTCTCAAAGAGAAAACACAATCGTATTATCATCGGTAAAATCTCAGGTTGTGCACGGTGCTGCCACCCGTGCTCCCTTCTGCAGGAAATGGGGGCACTGTGCCAAACGGAAGGGCACTGCATCCCGACGCTGCTGGCTGGGCGCCTCGTTCCATAACCACACAGGCATCACACGCCGCGGCCGCCACCTTTGCAACAGCGGTGACGCTTGAGGGCTGCCTCACGTGGACTAGCTCAGAATGCTACATTTTCTGGGCGATCTTTACTTTTTTTTTTTTTTACGTTTATTTGTTTTTCAGAGACAGAGTGAGACAGAGCGCGAACAGGGGAGAGGCAGAGAGAGAAGGAGACACAGAATCGGAAGCAGGCTCCAGGCTCCGAGCTGTCAGCACAGAGCCCGACGCGGGGCTTGAACCCACAAACCGCGATTTACTATTTTTTTTTTAATTTCAGGGATACAGTTTCTTCCATTTCAACACAGGCTAACTTATTTTGATTTCCGTCACCAGTGTGACTTCTCACAAAACTACGGAGTTTCACATCATCGGGAGGAAAGGCAGTGGGGTGCGAGCAGTCCTCCAGCAGTTTCCACGCTACTGTTGTGCTTACTGGATAAGCAAGTCTCTTCTCTAAACAGTTTCGGGTGCCTTACGTAGCTATTTCAACAGCCCGATGGCTCCGCGCAGTCTCAAATGTTGACAGCACAAACTCAAATCTCCCCGGGAGTACAACCCTACATCGTGTAATTTCAGATGTGATGGAAGCTAACTGTCAGCCCGAATGTTAGGTGGGGAGAGGGAGCTCTTCTCACTACCTGCAAATTAAGTGGAACTTTCTGAACCCCCATCTATGTAGGCAGGAAAGTCGGTGGGCCCGGGGCGGGGGAGGGGGGGCCAGCAGGGGACAGGAAGCCACTAGCAGGACGGCATTCTCCCCATAATGGTGCCAAAATGCGAACCGTGAGCTCACGTTCAATACCAGACTGTTATGTGAATACCACAGCAAGAGGCAGTGCACGGGACACACGGCTCACGCTTGAGAATTAAAACAGAGAGGGACGTGGAACTCATCCTTATACGGGTTGGAATGTGTTTCCTAACGATTGAAAGGATCACAATTTTGAAAAAGACAGGGTAAGATAGGAGGGATTCCTCCTGCAACCTATACGAACACAAAAAGCTTACTGCCTTTTAGTGCCAGTGGCATCATCAACTTCCCCTTCAAATTAACCAAGAGCCCTCTTGCATATAAGCACCTTGTAATCTTTGGATTACAAAGAAAGGAAAAGACAGGTGAGTGGTAGTCCTGGTACCCGAATCCTAATGCTGACAAGTGCACCTGCACGTGTGCTCTGGCTATCTAGTGACATGGCCCCTTCCGGAAAGCTCATTTTCGTGGGTAGCGGGTGACCACACTGACAGCTGGGGGTGGCTGTGACCCAGCTCATCCGGGTCTCAAATGCTGCTCATCCTGAGTCATTCACGTAAAGAAAAGACGCCGCTATAAACTTCAGTTCGCAGAATATTTCTTTAAGGTATCTGATGATAGTTAGATGCGTTTTGTGTCCCTGTGTCCAAAATGAGGTCTGGCACAACACACCCGACTCCTAATTACTAACAGACAGTCATGATCTTTTCAAAGGACAGCGAGCAAAGGGGGAAAATGTGCAAATTACGGCTTTCCACGAAGTTAGGGTAGCTGGAATCATTTAGAGTTAACAACTCCCAATTATGACACGTCTCCTGATTTTTGCAAGCTCTGCCTTTTCATCCGAGTTCACACGATGATCGTGAGGGACTTACGATTTTATTTTAAAGGGACACTTGTTATTTTGTTTCTCTAAGCAAAAAAAAATAAAAAAATAAAAAATAAAAAAGTAAAAAACCAAAATTCTTGTATTTTTAACTACCGCATGCAAATGAATGGCTAAGAACTGACGACAGACAGCCGAATTTCCAAGGTGAGAATCTTTCGACTAGCTCTTTGCAAGTGGAATAAAAATGCACCTTAGTCTGTTGGCGTGCTCAGACGAGCCTGGTTTTCTCCTGAACTCTTCCTCCATCAGTGTGCCAGGAGACCACAGACTTATATTAATGTCACCTCTGGTCTCCTTCTGACAGCGCTCTTTGTTGATTAGATAAATATTCCTCAGATAGCTGATTAAAAAATGATGCAGCTGTGAGGCTGTATGTCCAAGCCTTGTCAGCCATGTTGGACGTTCAAGTGTGCATGAATTACATCCGCGGCGTGCAGCGAACAGGGCTGGTTAAGTAAGGCACGCTGCAGCCCTCACAATCAATTATGAGAACAAATAGGATCTTTTTACCTACACGCAGGAAGGGGCTGGGTCAGAGAAGGCGTGTCACTCATTTCTAAGAATGTCTTGTCTCGGAACGAAACAAATAACCCTCTCCATTCACACGAGGGATTGCAAACTTGTACCTCTTAGAGAAGGCGAATGACAACCTTGTCAGATAGCACCCACTCCCTGTCC